ATCTGAACAGAGGTTTAATATTAGTCCACCTGCCCATAGACCTAACTTGGGTCTGTTAAGCATTGTCACAAGATGGAGGAAAAAACTGAACAGACATGGATGTAACAAAAGTGACATTGAGTCTATTATGCTCAAATTCAGCAGGTGATCTTTTCACAGATGCCCTCCCTATTGATCGTAACAGATGCCACCCATGAGAAAGGAGCCTAAGTTTACCTTTTATTCAAATTTGGTGCTACAGTCTTCTGTGAGGTTAAAGTGGTTCTAAAGTCTAAACTTTTTTTTACCCTAATGCATTCCCTACATTAAGGTAAAAAATGTACCACCAATTGTTGGACACCCACCTAACACTTACTTGACTCATCCATCGATCCAACACTATCCTGTCTGCAGCAGCTCTCTCCCCTCTCCCTGCCTCACAGGACACACTGCTGCTGTCAGTCAAATCCTGTGAGTACTGCACAGAATTGTTTATGTAAAATGAAATCCAGCACCTACATTAGATGCACAGTTTGTAGTTCCCTCCCACAGTCAAATAAAATATTCCATGCTGAGATTTAGTCAGTTCTTCTTATGCTCTCACCAAATAAAGTTGATCAAGCCCCTCAATCTATACGTGAATCTCTCCTTCCTCTTCTCCTCAAATGGCTTTTCCGTGTCCATGTAAACACACACACACACACACACACACTTAAATCACATATAGTGCATTATTTCCTAAAATATTGGATCAAATGTGTATTGCACTCACATAAAAGAAAAAAAATGGCAAACTTATCCACCACGTGATTATTATTATTATTATACAGGATTTATATAGCACCAACAGTTTGCTCAGCGCTTTACAATATAACGGGAGACAATACAGCAACAATACAGTGATAAACTCTAATGTCCATCACCCTTACTCCTACCCTCTAATCAAGAATATCTTGCATCTATACAAGAATATCTTGCATCTACACTAAGTATCCTTGCATTATTCTTCCTTTTTTGTACTTCTAATTCGTCTCCCCAAAGAGAAAACACTCACAGTGTAATATCATAGTACAGTTTAAAAATGCTCAAGTTTATAAACTCACACTCTTTCCATCAATTCCATCACCCAAAACATGTGTCCCATCTACCTAGTGCGTCTCACACCGCCCTTTAGGTCATGCACTCTAGGACTCCCCCCATCACATAGAGCATATAAAAAACCCAAAGACCGCTAATTCAACTTCTGCACTTCCAAGCACCACTGCCTCTCCATATGTGCACCAACGAGAGTTGACCATAGTGCAGTATTATTTAAAACAGAGCTCTTTACCCGCACTTTACCCGCTAAAATGAATGCTTACAATATAATATAAAATTTCAGCATACAAGACCTTATCCAATATGGCCACCACTAAACTTCAGGTTGATGTCTGACATCACTTCAGGACACATTTTGTCACTTCAACTTCCTCATAGGATGTCAAACTGTGCACCTAGTTAAGCGCTGGATTTCATTTTACATACACTTTGTCTGCCCAGGGAGGTAGATCCGGTCTAGCTGTTTGGGAAATTTTTATATTTGATTTAAAATTTTGGTTTGTTTCATTTACTTTTTATTGATTGTGGCATTGTTTGTACATGACTCTTAGATGCTGATTTGACACATTATATATTGCACAGAACTGGTACATATAACATGTCTACTGTTCTAATTTGAAAAAAAAAAGACGACTTACTTTACAACCACTTTAAGTGACACTGCCTTAATTTAGAAGTAATGGGTCCACCATTTAGCTAGATGTGCTTTTTTCTCTGTGTCTTGGTCTTACCTCCACTAGAAAGTCTCTCAATGCAACAAATGTTGGTCTGTCCTCAGGCTTGTGAGCCCAGCACTGTAGCATAACATTATAAATGTCTTGTGGGCTGTCTTCTGGCCGCGACAGACGTTCACCCTCTTTATCAATCTTGTGTAGAATCTGCAAAGTTTACAGAAAAAAGTAAGATCGATTGTTAGTAAAGAATGGTGAGCCTGCAAGCAGCAGCTAACACGAACTTGGCGTATCTTGTACAAAAAGATATGGTAAAAACAAAAAAAAAAAAAGAGTCTATGTCATCAATTTCATCCTCAACAACCAGTACAAAGCATTCTTTCATTTCCTAACTTGCACAAAAACGCTGATATCTGGTTGGCGGCCCCAGGCAACACTATTTCCTTCCTTGAGATTGTATGTGTGGACAAATAGAGTAAATACAGTGGGGGGAATTTATTAAAACTGAAGCAGACAGAATCTGGTGCAGCTGTGCATAGTAACAAGCCAGCTTTTATCTTTAGCTAGTGCAATTAAGCATTGAAAAAGAAGGATAGAAGCTGACTGGTTGTCCTGCACAGCTGCTCCAGATTCTGATGGCTGCAGTCTTAGTAGATTCCCCTCAACATGCTTTCCCTTTTTATTTAAAAACTCCCTTTAAAGAAAAGTTTAAATTCAAATTAAAAAAAAAGCACCTAGGAAGATTTGCAGGACTGTATATTAGACAGTGAATTTTAGGATCTACTAAACAATATTTTATTTTGGACATAAGCTATAGTTAATAAACTACAGAAGGTCAAAGCTAAATGGGTAAGAAATGCAGTCAATCTACCATATGTTTGGGCTCTGTGAGAGGGTGATGATCAGCTGGGCTGTCTGTCGTAAAACAACAAGCCAGAAGCTGAGCCAAAGCAGATATTTAAAACAGGCACTTTGTGCAAGTCACAATTTGTAAAACCATTAATTGCCCCCTAGACCGACAGTGACCAGACCTACAGATAGGTTGCTCAGGTGACTGTATTGTGGGTGGGGGATGGGTCTAAGGTGCACTATCAGAAAGTAGAAAATCTGAGGAACAGCTCCAGATGGCCCAGGAGTGACAGATAATAGATTGAAAGGTACTTGCTGACTGCTTAACTGATAACCATTAAATACCACTGTCATATTGGTGGGTTTGAGAATCACATATGCTTCCTTTAAAGCGGAACTTTACACATAACAACTTGATAAAAAAATAATGTCCTTTAGAAAGGAACATAAATTCCACATTAATAATTATGCTCCCTAAATCAGTGTATACTGTAAATTGCCTGCAGCATTGCTCTTGTTTCTTCTTGCTGGTGGCTGCTATTTTGCTGAAGCCCAAAGGCCCTGAGCAGCAATAAATCATAAAGCGGAACTAAACCCATCGATTTAATGGTTTCAAGAAACAGTTACATTACTGGAATGCTAGGATTGCTAACATTCAGATTTACTTCTGCTCTCTACCGAACTGTCAAATCAAATGGCTGGTGTCATAACTGATCGCATGTGCAGTACTATGATAGTTGCAGATCAAACAGAAACAGCTTCCTTGGCTGTAAAGGATAGGGAGGTTTAGTTCTGCTGTAAGGCTGTCAGAAGATAGTCCTCTACAAATTTGGCAGTGCCTTAAAATAGAGAGTAACTGAGCACGTGCAAAGCACAGTGAAACAGTGTATTACTGGATTCTAAGCCATATAGGCACTTATTTGTAATGTTTTACATAGCTATATCTGTAAAAGGGGTCAGCCTGAAGTTATCTAGCAGGACTTAATTTTCTGACTAAAGTTTTACTTTAAGCACGTGAAAAGAATAAGCAACCGTTTTTACAATTAAAAAATGTTAACAGTCCATACTGTGGAAAATGCTGAAACAAAAAAATTAACACAACTTGAGAAACATTTCAGAGACGTAACTTGAGAAAAAGTTTTCTCTTCTTTTCACTAACTCCACTCATGGTTTTAAAAACAATCATGGACACAAATACAAAAACATAGCAAGACAACAGAATGTGTAACAATGTATGTCAGGTTTTTATTTATGCCTCATAAGAATGAAGCATATTTCTATAAAAACTACTCTATTTATGTTTCACAAATTCACTATAAATACAGATCAAACAGAGGACCTATAATGCAGGGAATCAGTGGGCTGCCACTGCTCAATTCCTCTTCTAAAAATCCTTCATGCTTGGCTGTCATGCTGATCCAGTGGCTTTAAATACTTTGATGTGCTCATCTAGAACAAGTAAGTAGATCGTGAGCGCTGATTTCAGTCTGACTTCAATGGCTGCATGCTCATACTATGCCAGTGACTCAAGGTGGAAGGCACAAACTGCCAGGCAACAAGCATTTTCAGAATGAAATGAGAAATGATGCATTGTATATTATAATGGAGTTTATATATAATGAATACAGGATTCCAGACATTCAAGGCTCAAACTGACCTTCACATCACCTACACGCAACATACAAAAATTGACCAACATTTCCTATTCCCAAAAGAGGCTGTTAGGAAGAATATAAACTATTTTCCTTCAAACACCTTTTATCTTCACTGTAATGAACAAGGTTAATTTGTCAATACACTTTACCCCCTTCCTGCCCAAGCCAATTTTCAGCTTTCAGCGTTCTCACACTTTGAATGACAACTGCGCAGTCATGCAATGCTGTGCCCAAACTAGTTTTTTATAATTTTGCTCACACAACTAGAGCTTTCTTTTGGTGGTATTTAATCACTTGGGGTTTTTATTCTTAGCTACATTAACTAATTGCCGACCGCAGATAGCCGAATGACGGCTGCACTGCGGCCGGCCAGTTCTGGGTGGACGTCATATGACATCCTCCCAGAACACGCTCGGCGCGCACCTGGCGATCTCCGTGATTGCTGTGTCCTACGGACACAGCTGATCACGTGACGTGGTAAAAGGCCAATCACAGCGGCCTTTTACCACGTGATCAGCCGTGTCCAATGACACGCTGATCACCGGGAAATGCAAATGCCGGTTCTCGGCTGCACTTTCCTCACGCTGTCAGATCGTGAGGAAAGTACTGCCGAAAACCGGCAGTTGTCAGAGCGGGGATCAGCACCAATCATCAGGGTCACTGATCACCAGTGCCCTGATGATCGGTGCCCAGCAGTGCCACATACAAGTTCCGCCCACCTGTGCCCAGCAATGCACCCACCTGTGCCCAGCAGTGCCACCTACCTGTGCCCAGTAGTGCCACCCACCTGTGCCCAGCAATGCGCCCACCTGTGCCACCCAGCAGTGTCACCACCTGTGCCCAGAAGTGCCACCTACCTGTGCCCAGTAGTGCCACCCACCTGTGCCCACCAGTGCCACCCACCAGTGCCCATCAGTGCAGCCCAGCAGTGCTGCCAGTCAGTGCCACCAGTCAGTGCCCAGCGGTTGTGCCATTCAGTGCCCAGCAGTGCCGTCAGTCAGTGCCCAGCAGTGCTGTCTATCAGTACCCATTATCAGTGTTGCCTATCAGTGCCACCAATCAGTGCCGCATATCAGTGCCACCTATCCGTGACACCTCATTAGTGCCGCCTATCCGTGCCGCCTATCAGTGCCCTTCAGTGCTGCCTATCATTGCCGCCTATCAGTGCCCATCAGTGCTGCCTCATCAACGCACATCAGTGAAGGAGAAAAATTACCTGTTTGAAAAATTTTATAATAGAAACAAAAAAAACTTTTTTTTTTTTCAAAATTTTTTGCAATTTTTTTGCTTATAGCACAAAAAGTAAAGTGCCCAGCAGCAATTAAATACCACCAAAAGAAAGCTCTATTTGTGAGAAAAAAAATGATAAAAATTTCATATGGGTACAATCTTGCATGACTGTGCAATTGTCAATCAAAGTGCGACAGCGCTGAAAGCTGAAAATTGGCCTGGTAAATAAGGGGGTATAAGTGCCCGTGCCCGGTAGGCAAGTGGTTAATGAAAAAAGTTTTGAAACAAAGTTTTTCTTTTTTTCGGTTATAAAGTTTTGCAAGTAAATAATTGTTCTTCATAAATTTCGGCCAAGGTGTATTCTGCTACATTTATTTGGTGAAAACAACCCTACCAGGTTAGTACTGACATCAAATCTAATTGATGTCAGGACAATACAGATAACCCCCAAATGATCCCTTTTTGCAAAGTAGACAGTCTGAGGTATTTAGTAATTTTTCCTTTTTTTTTTTTACATACTGTCACCAGTGCAGTACAGCGTTATCATATAACTGGTGTGGCGGTGATCACGGACACTGACTGGCGACAGTACGAAAAAAAATGTAAAAAAATTTTAAATGATTTTTTTATTCTATTTTTTTCCATAATACACTGTGACCAGAGTAGTATAACGTTACCATAGTAAGATTGTACAACTTTGGGGAAGTGATTGGTATTTTTTTTTACATATTATAATTGCGTATAGCAAAGAATCTCTTTGCTATAAGCAAGCTTTTAAACTGAATGAAAAATGAAATCAATTCATTCAGGTTTTTTGTTTTGATTAGATGTGATTGGCCACAGCTAATCACATGAGACAGATGAGCTGTGATTAGCCCGGTCTTTACATGTGATCACTGTGACCTATCACAGCTAGTGACACAATTGTATACAATGGATGGCATGAAAGGAAGTCATCCATTGTTTACAATTGTCATGTGACCTACTGTGATTGGTCATAGCAGGTTACATGGTACTGGCAAGGGGCTGGTACACAGATCTGTCATCGGCTCTGTCCAAGGTGCACAGCCATCGATAGATCTCGCCACAGCGCAGCCCCGCAGGCACGCGCAAGGCGAGATCCAAGAAGGACGTCATACAATGTCCACCCGGAAAAATGTCCCGCTCGGTTGTCATTCTGCTATTGACCGGGCGGAAACAGGTTCAAAACTGGTATGAAACTCAAAATAAAAATGTCATATATTACAGCTTAGCAATATTGGTTGTAAGCCTCAGATGTGAAATATGAACAAAGCATATCCCTAGTGTGTGCTTGTCTTAATCCAGAGCACTAAGTGTCATTTCTGTCTGTTATCTCATTCCTCTGCTATCAGCATGAGTCACTTCTGATGAGTTTTCCTGACACAGAGAAAAATGGTGATGGGGAGGGACCTCCAGCAGATTGACAGTCATAGCTCTGTTCCTGTGTGCTGTGTGGAGGGGGTGTGTCCCTTTCCAGTGGACATAGCGGATGACAGATCACACCACAGCGTGGCCTGTGGGGCGTGTCCGAGACCCATTCTTGGGAGGACGCCATATGACGTCCACCCATAACAAGAGAGCTCCCGTCCGGCCACCATATTACAATAGGCCTGGCAGGAAGCATTTACAGCAACAGTCTCTTTTTCCTTTTAGGATAAAGGTTTTGTCTAAATGAATAAAACCTGACCATTGTAACTACTCATGTCAGTGTTAATTGGTTTGTCTTGAAAAAAAAAGGGGTGCTGTTGCGCTTAGGAAAAAAATTAAATGTATAAAAATTGCAATATATATATAATACCTATATAGCAGCAGTCCTAATTGTGAACTCCTATACACAAAATCATAAATATTTAAAATGGACCGCGCTAAGGTCATAAAATCAACTAAATCCAGTGTACAAATTAAAATGATAATGAACAAAATTCAAATAAAATATTGGTATTCAGTCCCAACATGTGAATTTTTTAGTGCAATTGTATCTTTGTATTGTATCTTTAACGGTGAACCTCCGTACTGAAGTGACAAGTGCTTCACTGTGTTCACACTGGTGCCCCACATAGATGTAAACTCACTTACCTATCTCTAGGTAAGTCAAATGCGCTTTTGGGTCTATCCTAGTATGCAATATGGTATTGATGGCCAATAATCCTTCACCCTCTTAACCATGGTTGCTGGTGGTAACCAATAACCCTCCACTTTTAGCAAGGATCAGTAGGGGGATTGCCCGCATATGAAACACCAATTGTGGGGGATCAGCTTCAAGTGAAGCTTGCACAGAGGTCAGTCAAGCCGCATATAAGGTTAAGGGCTTCCTGCTCACATTTATTCAAGGCAAAAGTAAAGCAAAGGTTCAACATAAGACAGATTGCCCACACAGGGGTAAAGATCACAGTCCAAAAGCAAAGGTTCAACAAACATCTGTTAAGCCTCCTGCCTAGTAAGTAGACCCTGCTGAGCCTGTTGGTCTCATGTTTGTCTGCAGGTCTGAAGCAGGCTCAGCAGGGTCAACTTACTAGCCAGGAGGCTTAACAGCTGTTTGTTGAATCTTTGCTTTTGGACTGTGATCTTTACCCCTGTGTGGGCAATCTGTCTTATGTTGGACTTTTGCATTGAATAAATGTGAGCAGGCAATCCCTCTACTGATCCTACTGAGTGAATGCCACTAATTTATTTGAATTTTTTCATTGTTATCACTTTAATTTGTAGACTGGATTTAGTTGATTTTATGACCTTAGCGCGGTCCATTTGAAATATTTAATTGGTTTGTCTTAACTGTCTAATTCTACTAACAGTGTATGGCCAACATTACTCTGGCCAGTTTGCCAAGTGAAAACAAACAGAAAAAAAAGCCTGAAAATTGAAAATAATGTAGCCACCACATTAAAGGATTGGTAAACTGTGCCAATTTAAAGTGGAACATCACCTTAAAGGGAAAGTTCCACTTTAAGTCTTCCATCCCCCACCTCTAACACTTTTGGGCATTTTTGGTTGGGGGGGGGGGGGGTGCAGGTATCTAGTTTTTGCAGGTACCCACTCCCACTTCCGGTCGGATTACCTAGGCGATTCCACCAGAAATTCGTACACCCTCCCCAACTCCTTGGGACATGTCACAGGTCCTATGAGACTGGGGGACATTTACATAGCGCACCACAGCTCACGCATGTGCATTGGGAAGCTGGCTGTGAAGCCACAAGGGGTCACAGTAAGCATGCCGATGCCAAGGACCCGAAGACCAATAAACAACTAGCCTGGATGAGGATGGTGCTGGATCTTTGGACAGGTAAGTGTCCTTTTATTAAAAGTCAGCAGCTACAGAATTTAATTTTTTGCAAACAGATTGAAGATCCTCTTAAAATGATTGTTTTGGATTATATCATTACATTTTTATTACAGAAAACTTTAATAAAAATGTACAGAACTGACACCTGTAGGCAGGATGACAAAATAGAATAGAAGAACAAACCATCTCTCCTTTGCATGGAAAGCAGAAGTCATGATACACCATTTAAAAACCATGTATTTACAGATCTACAGTGGTGATATCCCAGTCTCTAAAGGAAACAGTTTTAAGGCTCTTTTACACTAGCGTTGCCCTCTGAAGAGCAATCTGTGTGAATCACTTTTCATGTAGTGAGAAGGTGTTATGTTGCCTCTTCACCACCAGTTTTAAACTCCTAAAAACCCACACCATCAACCTATGCACACAGGGTGGGGCGATTGTGTGGCACAGACCCATTTACTTGAATGGGATGTGTTCTGTGGGCAGTACTGCCTGATAAATGCGTCCGAGGGGAAAAAAGTTTTACAGAGCAGTGATGTGAAGATTGCAGCCACAGCACTTGTATATCCTCTCAGCCACTGCCTTTAGTCTAATGGGGAGCAGTTAGGGGGCAGTAAAAAAAACCAGCTAAACTATGTATTTTTTCCTCCCCCAAAGGCAAATTGAAACTAAGTTTTACCTTGTTTTGGGCACCCTAAAGGCTTCGACCCCACACTGCTAGATTCCATTATGTTCAGATTAGCTCCAAATGTCTAAAGAATACAAACTACAGCAGTTATTTGTGTTCTAAGTTATACACCCCTATTTCTTTTCATATGTTTAACCTTACAACGGTATAGAAGATTGTTTTTAGATCTATATGCTGTCTTACCTGGCTCCCATTAAGCCCTATCCAAGGTTCTTGTCCATATGTGAACATTTCCCACAGTGTCACACCCAAACATCCAAGTATCACTGGCATGTGAGAATGTACGAGTCTTCAGGCTCTCTGGTGCACACCTATCAAATTAAGATATTGTTGAGACAGCATAAACAAAATGCATCAAACTATAAATGTAGTAATTCATTATTAAATACATTATTTACTATTATATACTATTTGAGACATCAGTAAGATGCCAGATCATTCAGTTAGTAGGGCATCCCTAAGATGCACACATACAGTTCCTTGCTGTCCTATAATTCAAATATTAACGTTTTGCATAATTTGTGGTTCTGCTCCACGGATGACCCCCATTCACCATAGCCCACAAAATATGGATAATGAATAATGAACAAACATACAGAGGCTGGCATCATTACCTGCACATTCTAACACAAAAAGGTGCACTAGGATATGCTGGCACACTGCTGAGTGTGGGGCATTTTATGGCATTGCAGCTCTCTGCTATTTTAAAGTGGGTCAGCTTGCAATCAATACCTTATCACCTTAATATTAATATGTGGACTACATGGGAGGCATGAAGAGGTCTTGAAAGCTGCTGATGCTTGTACAAGAGGTCTGCACATCATGGTACCATAGAAGGAGTGTGGCAGTCAGGAAGAGGGAAGACAGGTGAAACAGAAAGAACATTCTAATATTTTTCCTATGGATGTCAGCCCTCCCTTCCAGCTTATGAACCCAGTTACAAGGCGCTTCTGGTGGCACATGGTGGGAGGGACTTTAGCTACGTACAGCTATCATTCATGTCCTGTATGGCAGGAGAAAATGCACACTATGTTGTATGGCATTTTCAAGACTGTCTACTTCATGTGAGCAGCAGACTCACCCTAAACCAACTGTTCAGGGCTGATGCATGAAAACCGTAAAAAAAAAAAAAAAGGAATGAGCCAAATATCAGTTCAGTTCCTAACAGCAACCCATCAGGCTTCACTTTTCAGTGTATATAAAAGTTAACTAAGAATTCTGTTGCTACATGTAACAACGTCAACCCTGCTATTATGCTATCTCTAGTTGTAATAATTCAGCTGTTTTTGTTTAGAGTGGTAAATTCTCCAATATTCGATGTGTGTAAAAAGTCCTCTTGTATGATGCAACCTAGAGCAACAGTCCCATATTTTTTTTACACATATACAGTACACACATGCTGAACATTTTCAAATGTCTATTATTCCTTCTTCATCATCAAACTTAAAGTGGTTGTAAAAGCTCAAGGTTTTTTAACTTCATGCATTCTATGCACAAAGGTAAAAAACCTTTCTGTGCAGCAGCCCCCCTAATACTCACCTAAGCCCCCTCTCAATCCAGCGATCTGCAATGGAGTCTTGACTATCCCTGGACTCCCTCTCCTCATTGGTTGAGACAGTAGTGGGAGCCATTGGCTCCTGCTGCTGTCATTTAAAGCCAGTGAGCCAATGAGAAGAGAGGGGGGTAGGGCCGATCCACGGCTGTGTGTGTGCGAATGGACACACGGAGCAGCGGGTGCCCCATAGCAAGCTGCTTGCTGTGGGGGCACTTGACAGGAGGGAGGAGCCAGAGAGCCTGCGGTGGACTAGAGAAGAGGAGATCCAGGCTGCTCTGTGCAAAATAATAGCACACAGCAGGTAAGTATAGACATGTTTATTATTTTTAGAAAAATAAATGTAAGCCTTTAGTATCACTTTAACACCAGACACACCAAAGCCTCCACCAACGACAGGAATCGCACTCACGCTCTCTTTTACCTCTCTCTTTCAAATCAGGCAAAAGTGTTTTTTTCAGGTAGACATTTCCCCATTTAGCAGCAGGAATTTCAGCAATACAAGATCCCAGGTGGCAGGTTTCTTATACTGGCTCCTCAACTTTGTACATATGTACTGTATGTAAGTTCACTGGGAATTTATATGTTGGATGTAGCAGCTGATTTTTTGGATAAAATGATTTGGAAATTTTGCCCCTCAATACAATTTTTTTGCATATAAACAACATTTATAAAAATTATTTTAGACTAACAAAAACGTAAAGTTTTTAGCTAAATTCTTACCAAGCAAAGGGCACCTTCCGATGTTCTTGCATGACATAGTGATCATCATTTTTTGGCAGTGCTCTCATAAGTCCAAAGTCCCCAATCTTAACCAGGTCATTAGAAGAGAGCAAGATGTTCCTGGCTGCAAGGTCCCGGTGAATGAAACGCTTTGATTCTAGGTAGGCCATACCATTAGCAATCTGGATAGCGTAGTGACATAGAGTGGAGATGAGAAAATGACCCAGGTTCTTACGCAAGCGGTCCAGCAGAGATCCTAGTGGGGCAAGCTCTGTCACCTGTATGAGATAAACAATCATTTTGTAGGTGCTGCAGTGAATTGTAGGTTTTTGGCTTCTTCTATAGCTAGGAAACTAAGTTAAAAATATATCAAAACTCAGTCTTTGGATTTTTTTGGTTTCCCTACCAACTATTCCTTGTTTAGGTTTGACCTCTCATGTACAGTTTACACTAAGCATTATCAACCCTTACAGTTGATAACAAAGATGAATAGAACCAGTACCAGATGAATCTTAACTTCAGGCAAAAGTGTTTTTTTTTTTCATATTTTTTTTATTTTGGATAGAAGAAGGAAGTATTAGATTCCTGGTCAGATTTTTATGGCTCTATGGGGAGATTTACCAAAACTGGCGCACTCAGCATTTTGTGCAGCTGTGCATGATAGCCAATCAGCTTCTACCTTTAGCCTGTTCAATTTAGCTTTGATGATAAAACCTGGAAGCTGATTGGTTTCTATGCAGAGCTGCACCAGATTTTGCACTTTCCAGTTTTAATAAATAATCCTGTGTGTCTCCATCAAAGATTTCCCTTCATTTTTCAGAAATGTGACAAAAAAGAAAAAAAAAAAAAGGAGTACAAATCTCTGAAAAGTGAGGGAAAATCCACTTTTGACAGTTGTCGCTGGAACATGTGTTCCCACTGAAGGGTTGCCTTGACCACTGAAAAATATGGCTTTTTTTTGTAAAATTTAGACATTTTTGGTAATGTTCGTCATTATATGATGAAAATGGATCCAACCAACAAGGATACTGACTGAGATTCTAACCCTTTTCCACTCTATCCAAAGTATGAAAATTTGTTTTGGCTGGAGTTCTGGTGGGGGAGCGTTTTTTTTTTTTGGCACTTATGCCTAAATTAGACAATATGCTGCCAAGGATGCAAACTGCAACCTGTGTTCTGAAATGCACAAGGCAAGCTACTGTAGGTCCTCTAGAAGTACCTAGTTTGATAAGAAAACTGGTCTAGTTGCACAAAAGCAAATCTGTCAACACTTAAAGCAGGAAATAGCCTCTGATGTCAACTAGATAACTGGTTCATATGGGGATGGTAGTGGCAGTAGAAAGCAGGGAGTGGAAATGAAAATGGAAAGTTGTGCAAGAGATAGCATCCTGGCAAGAAGATGTATATGTGTGCAGATGTTCTGCTGCTTGAGAAGGGGTGGGTTGATATGAAATGCCAACTCATGACACTTTCAATTCTATGTATGAATGCTGCAACATACTAAAGTGTGTAAGTGTGTGTGTGTATATATACACACACATACACATACTATATTACCAAAAGTATTTACACGCACATGAATTTTAATGGCATCCCAGTCTTAGTTTGTAGGGTTCACAAGGTTTAGGAGGGTGTCTATGGGAATGTTTGACTATTCTTCCTGAAGCGCATTTGTGAGGTCAGGCACTGATGAGAAGGCCTGGCTTGCAGTCTCCACTCTAATTCATCCCAAAAATGTTCTACCGGGTTGAGTCAGGACTCTGTGCAGGCCAGTGAGCTTCCTCCACCCCAAACTCACTCATCCATGTCTTTGGGGACCTTGCTTTGTGCACTGGAACAAGAAGAGGTCATCCCCAAACTGTTCCCACAAAGTAGGGAGCATGGAATTGTCCAAAATGTTTTGGTATGCTGATGCTTTAAGAGTTCCAGGGGTTTTTTTTTAGGAGTTGTTTTTCAGCCCAACCCCTGAAAAACAACCCCCACACCATAATCCTCCCTCCACCAAACTTTACACTTGGCACAATGCAGTCAGGCAAGTACCGTTCTCCTGGCAACCGCCAAACCCAGACGCGTCCATCGTGATTCAGAAGCGTGATTCATCACTCCAGAGAATACATCTCCACTGCACTAGTGTCCAGTGGTGGCGTGCCTTACACCACTGCATCTGACGCTTTGCATTGCTCTTGGTGATGTAAGGCTTGGATGTACCTGCTCGGCCATGAAGCTCTCTATGCACTGTTGTGCTAATCTGAGGGCCATACAAACTTTGGAGGTCTTTAGCTATTGACTCTGAAGACAGTTGGCGACTTCTGCGCACTGTGTGCTTCAGCATGCATTGACCTCATTTTACATGGCCTACCACTTTGTGGCTGAGTTGCTGTTGTTCCCAGTTGCTTCCACTTTGTTATAGTACAACTAATAGTTGATTGCAGGATATTTAGTAGCAAGGACATTTCACAGATGGACTTGCACAGGTGGCAAATTCTCACGGTACCATGCTTTAATTCACTGAGCTCCTGAGAGCAACTTATTCTTTCACAAATATTTGTAGAAGCAGTGTACATGCCTAGGTGCTTGATTTTTTACACTTGTGGTCATGGAGACATTTGGAACACCTAAATCCAATGATTTGTAGGGGTGTCCCAATACTTTTGGCAATATAGTGTATATTTATAATGTATTTCATAGCGAAGAAGACAACTAAATATCTTCTTAGTTAGAACATGAAGGATTTACTTAGCAAACTATTGAAGGTTTCCAGTACTAATATAATAATTAGCTATACAGCTACAAGCAATTTATTGTATAAATGTTTTGTACATAGTATAAAAACAAGAAAACATACTGCAAGTCTAATTAAGCATTAGAAGTCAATATCATATTATGATAATGTTTTGCTCCATCATACCATTTTCATAGGATGTGTAAGGACGACTCCATATAGTCTAATGAGATTGACATGGTCCAGGGAGTGCATTGCATTGACTTCTCTGATAAAATCATCTAGGGCATCTGGCTGTGTAAGAACATCTGTCTTCAAGCACTTAACTGCAACATTAAACTTGGTAGAAAGACACAGAAAATGTCATTACCACATTGTTTCCAATGCAGGTTTTAAGATCAATACCCCTTACACAAAATCCTCTAATATAAAAACCAAAAACAAAAAAAAAAAAATGTTGCAGAACTGACATACACTTTATTAACTCACTAAAGTGAAAATATTAAGTGCAGCGCTAAATAAACAATGTGAAGTAATAAAACTGATTATTATAAGTGCTCAGAAATGAATGTCCATATAAATCAAGTGTTCAATATATCCATAAACAAAGTGTTCAATGAGTGTCCATCCACCACCCAAAAAGAGTGTTCTTGATTGTAGACAGCACAATTCAGATGTAAATGAACCATCACCATCTCCCAGTGAATTACAAACTGGGAGGACTTACAGTGGTGACGTCACGACATTGCGCGATCCCGGGTCGGCAGTGGCCACATATAAGCTGGCTTTTTTCTGTTTTGTGCAACTGAGTATACATATTGTTTTATCAATAAATTACTACACTATTGGAAGTACTTCTTGCTCCTAGTGAGCCTTATTTTACCAGGGTCTGGGCAGAGAGGATGGCGTCCACATATTGTTTGCTGTGACAAGATACATATGTTCCTACTGGGTTACATGGGCATGTGTGCTGTTGTAGTGGCAGCTAACAGCTCTGGTGAGTTTGTAATTCACTGGGAGACAGTGGTGGTTCATTTACATCTGAATTGTGTTGTCTACAATCAAGAACACTCTTTTAGGGTGGTGGATGGACACTCATTGAACACTTTGTTTATGGATATATTGAACACTTGATTTATATGGACATTCATTTCTGAGCACTTATAATAATCAGTTTTATTACTTCACATTGTTTATTTAGCGCTGCACTTAATATTTTCAATTTTTATTAGGTTTTTATACTACCTAATTGTACCAGCTGCTTTGCTAGTCAACGTGGATATATGTTTTTTATTATATTATTAACTCACTAAAGTGCTGGCCATCAAATATTTGTGACATTTTCGCAAAAGATAGGTATTCATAATGGCGGAGTTTGGCCTCTATTAATTTTTCTGAAAAACTCTGTGCTGGCAGTAGGAGAGTTGGGTCAGTACTCTTTACACACAGCAGTCCATACTTGCCCTCGCTGTACACTGCTCCATACAACAGTGATGCTCTGGCATCAAGAGCACAAGGGGGAATATTAACCCACTGGAGAATTAGACCATTGCATTGTGTGAGGGAGCCTAACTGCATTACTGTGATAATTAAAGAGGATGTAACAGGATTTTAAAAAAAAGTAACCCATTTCTGATATTTCAGTATATCACATTTCTTAAATACGTTTCCGCCGGCAAATTTTGAAATAAAAAAAAAAAGAAGCAAACAAAATATTACCCCCCCCCCCCCCCCCAAAAAAAAAAAAAAAAAAGAAGAAAAATGTGTTGCTATATATGGAAAAACATCATAGCTCCTTGGATAACAAGAAGTTTCAAACCTACCATTTTACCACTAGGGGTGTTCCACTCTCCTCTTCTAACAACACCAAAAGACCCATCTCCAAGCTTTTCAAAGAGGGAAATGTCCTTTTCACTAATAAGACAGGTCAGAGCCTGCTGACCTTCAGAAGGTGGGGGGCTAGGAGGTTTTCTAAAAGTATTTTGAGGCAGAGGAGAAAACTCTGAGTCTGGTCTCTTCCCACTGAATACCTGTTGCAAGAAAAACAATAATGTGTATCTATTCCATAACAGTGTCAAAAAGAGAGACATAAAGAGCATCAAAGCAGACAAAAATGAGCACATTACAGGATGTCCCTAACTTATACAGCAGGCCTTGATGCACTATTTGATTGGGCAATCAAGCTGATCATCGTAAGCACCCCCCTCAACGCTAAATGGTTTGTCTCAACCCACTAACTGCTACATCAGCAGGACAGCTTGTTCTGTTGAAAAACAACACACTTACTGGCATGATCACAAGGTGAAAATAAGAGAAAACTAATGCAGCCACCATATCTAAGAATTGGCAAGTTGCAAAATAATAAATGTTTGATTTTGGGTTTAATACTACATTCATGTTGCTAAATGAAAAGTTATGCACTTGGGGGCTAAAACCATAAATGCATCA